CTCTTGACCTTCCCCTGGACCCAAGGGTGTGCCATGCAAATTTTGGCTGCTTTAGCTCTTACAGGGACTGAATGCATAGAGAACAAACAAACAAACATACAAACAAACTTTCTTCTTTATATATATATAGATACAGAATATAGATAACACATTCGACTGAGTAGATCAGTCAGCCGCAATTAGATAACAAAAACTGTTATAAGTTTTGCATTCACTTACCAACTCACACATTTCACTTTTAGTTTCTGAAGTAGAGGAGAATTTACCCTGTCAATCGATTAAATTAGCATCAGAATGAAGACATGTTTGACCTTTTTCCTCTTGTCTTTTGAAAATTATATGGCAAACTCCGTAGTAATTTCGAAGAAATGTGCTGGTTTTCGTCTCTTTCTCAATCGTACACGTCATCAAAACTTGTCTCGAGGAAGTATAAATTGAGTAAATAACTGAGTCTCAGGTTACGGATACCATGGATTGTATAGAAAAATAACGGTTGCATTAGCAGATTATCTGCCGGCGGCTTTCTCCCGCAGTTGAAGCGTATTTTCTGTGTCGAGAATCCAGTTAGAACGAGTATAAGAAAAACTCCATTGAGATTTGTATTGCAACTTTCGGAAACATTATTGTCAAACAGCAGTCAGACATGTTTTCAGTCCAGCTGATTTTTATATATTTACTTCCAAAATGTGTGCTGAGATGATAAACAGTTTATCCAACTGCATGATTGAAATTCGGCATAAAAGTGTTTTAAATTATCACTGATTATAAAGATGTATTTGAAGGACATTAATACAATTTTGCATCCGGCGAAAATCAACAAACAAACAATTAGTTGGCAGTAAAACAAAGTTGCTACTATGAACTAGAAAGCTGTTTATTCCTCGTGATTATCATTTTCGCTTCTAGTCATCCAAGCTGATAATAGTCTTCGCAATGACAGGCGCATGGATACAGGAATTATCGATGAGTCAACACCTTCGACTTCATATCGGCATAGCGGGCATTTATTATCATGACGCAACCATTTGAGCATGCATTCTCGGTGAAATATGTGTGTCGGTTGTTTTTTGCCCGTTTGGGTGGATAAACACGGCCATACAAGATACGATTGTCCTCGTGTAAAATTTTCTAAATCCACACAGCATTTCTCTAAGTTCTGAGTTAACATTTGCTCGGTGATGAATCGTTTTGGTTTCAAGCGTAGTCTGGCAATGTACAAAGGTGTAGCTGGTTTCTTTTTATTGCCAAGAATATCTAGTAGCCGTGACACATCGTCCTGATTTAGTTTTTCTAACTGCTGCTCTTCTTCTTTTAACAGCGCCATTAGCCGACGTTCTTGCGTACCAGCTAATATTCGTGCTTCTTCGACATTTGAATCGTTCAGTGTTCTAGAAATTAGAATTGTAAGTGATGTACTTATGTAAGTGCAATGAACACCTACCGCTGTTTATATTCCTGATTGACAGCCAACAATTTCTGGTGTAACCAATCATGGTAGTTCTGCTTGAGGTCGGGCCATTTAATCCACGAGCAATTTCTTGAATTAAAATCGTTGTTAATGAGGATACCATTTTCAGTTATTTCATGGACCAAAACAACGGGTATGACTAAGAAAGGACTTTGTGTTTGATATTGCTGGAGAATGTGTTGCCGTTTCTCGTGTAGATCTATTTTCATCAACAAAATAGTGTTACCACCATCAATAACCATGACAAGTGATGATTTATGTTTGTTTTCATTAGTCGTCTTTGCAACCTCTTCGTCTAATGTGAGCAACATTCTGAAAATATTCAGGGTACTATCGGGTTTGAAGTACATGAGTTCTTCTTCGACCGTGTGATGAACAAAAAAAAATATGGTAGATACATATGCAACTTTCAGCTGGATAAATACAGTGCAGGAAAACCAAATAATACATCCAATGAAAAGCACTAGTGCGAAAAGAGATAATACCTTTGCGAAAGACGGATAGTAGGGTTTAGATGCATTAATCGCCACATCCTGATGAGTGAACTTATAAGAATGAAGCGGATAGCTTGCTAAAAAAGCACGCTCTCCTTTCGGACAGTAGACGAAACCGATTGTAATCGAACAGTTAGATAGCACCATTTTATTGAAATGAGTTGCGTTTTGATCATAAGTACTGTCAATGTACTTCACATAGTTCACTTTTTCTACCCACGTTCGAGATTCTTTTTCAACTGAAGTATCTCCGAGATTGCGCACGATACATTGCAAGGTACGAATGTTGAACAAGCGAAAAGTGAAGGGAAGACGTGCAGCATAAAAGTCTGGTTTATTTATGGTGGGCACTTTGACAAATAGTCGACCCTGCCGTTCTTTTTTATCTAAGACATTTCTAACCAATTTGAACGAATAAATCGACGATTCTTTTGTACGGACGGAACTAACATACTGTCTGACATCATATGGATGGTTCATAATGATGCCATCGCTCAATTCCAACTGAAAATATTCTTGACGAGGAAATAATGACCTTCTTGTGCCAGTATAATTATTGAGAAATCGGACGAATTCGCGTTTATTCAAGTGAAAGGGGCCATAGTAAAAGTTGTAGAGAAGTACATGCCACTCGAAAAAGAGAGCTATAGAGCACACAGTGAACATTAATATGAACAGTTTGATGAAATAATATTTCAAAACTTCACTTGTTCTTATACCATGTCTTCCTCGATTAATACGATCAAGTAAATGAGTTAGATCGTATGATTTCGACGAATACTGAGCAGAGTCACCGCCATAGAAATAGATAGAAAACGTGTCATTGCGG